ATGTTTCTATGCTGACAACTCTCCTCATGCACGGAAGGGAGGGGTATTCTTCCAAATGTCCATGGAAATGGAGGTCAGACGGGGAATTCTGGGAGTCGAAGTCCACTCCTCTTAAAAGAGCCATAGTTGAGAAACACTGTGTGTTGTCTCCTTCTGGATTCTCCAGAAACTGGGCACTAAAAGCCAATTTCATCAGAACAAACTTTATTTAATGGAAATGTAAATTCCTACGAGGGAAAACAGGCAATGCTCTCTGTGATGTGATGTGCAAGAGGTATTTTGTTCGGTCGTGGCATGTTCATTTCAAGGGGCTGGCTCATAAGTGTAAGGACTTGCCCCTACTGCCCCTCTCAGGAAAGGACAACTCTTGATGCCGTGTGGTTCATCAAAAGAACTTTTACCGAGAGACAGTGGTTGCAGTAAGACCAAGTGGAATCTAACATTCCTGCGCAAAGCACCAAGCTATTCTTCCCCCACAGAAACCCAAACCCCCTGACCAGTCCACCAGCAGCCATTACAGTGCTGAAAGATTGTTTTGAGAATGCTGAAGTATAGGACAGATAGTGGGTCATCCTCAGGGCTCAGCGACCTTGGAGTCAGGCTGGAACCGGCTGGGAAGGAGTCCATTCTGTCTCTGAAGACGATCCACCTCCCTAATTCCCATGTGGTCATGGGCTGTTTTTGCTAGAAATTGGAAGAAAATGCCAGTTTGAGGCAAAAAATGTCACAAATTGCAATCACGTGATTATGGAAAGCTGCAAATGGCAGTAAATACACAGTGGTTGCTGAGTACCTGAAATACAGTCATGTGACCACAGGGAGGGAAATAGCTGTTGGTTTCGGAATCAGATTGTAAGTACCTTTGGGGAGGCCCATCTAACTTTGAACAGTCGCTAACCCTAACTGTCATAAGGCTATCTGTACATCCATATAATTTTCATAGCAATAACAGAGAATAGAATAGAATAGAATAGAATAGAATAGAATAGAATAGAATAGAATAGAATAGAATAGAATAGAATAAACCTTTGAGATCTTTTAGTCCAACCCCCCACTCAGGCAGGAAACCCTATACAATTTCAGACAAATTTTTGTCAAGATCTCTTCTTAAAAACTTCCAGTGTTGGAGCATTCATAGCTTCTGGAAGCAAATTGTTTCACTGGTTAATTGTTCTAAATGTCCAGAAATTTCTCCTTAGTTCTAGGTTGCTTCTCTCATTGATTAGTTTCTATCCATTGCTTCTTGTCCTGCCCTCAGGTGCTTTGGAGAAGAGGTTGACCCCACCTGTTCTTTGGGGCAGCCCCTGAGATATTGGAACACTGCTATCATGTCCCCCCTCATCCTCCTCTTCATTAAACTAGACATACCCAATTCCAGCAACCGTTCCTTATATGTTTTAGCCTCCAGTCCCCTGATCATCTTTGTTGCTCTTGTCTGCACTCTTTCTAGAGTCTCAACATCTGTAAATAATATCATCCACAAATGCTAACAAGATAGATCTTTTGCCTTCACAATTTCGAGTTATCTAAAAGTGATCTCAGGAGAGGCAACTTCACTCCAGTGCCGGGAGATATGGGCCTCTAAGAAATCCTGTCTTAATTAAGGAATTTTGGACTGCATGAGGAATTTCCCAGCCTTGTTTATAGTGAGTTCCGTTATAGTGAAAAAATCTGTCTTACAGATCCCAAATTCTATTTCAACCTCGACTGGCCTTCAAGATCTGTTCCTGTAATCCTTGTCTTTTCTCTGATTTCTTAGAGAGCTTTTCCTCCTAACCTTGGGGATGCTTCTTTTAGGCTTTCACATCGTCCAGATGATGATCTTCTGTGAAATAGGGGAAGATGGGAAAAGGAGCGGCCGTTGGCAGTATGGCTATGATGGGTGGGATTTCCTTGACTACGAGATGGCGACCGGCATCTGGACAGCAGCTGACAAAGAAGCCCAGGGGATCAAGCGGAAATGGGAGGCCGAAACCGCCATCAAGCAGCGTTTCACAGGTTACCTGGAGAGCACCTGCATGGAGTGGCTGCAGAAGAACGACCACTACAGATCGGAGATATCCTTGAGGGAAGGTATGGAGAAACAGCCAGAGAGAAAGTATGGGAGCTGCATCTGCTTAGGTGTTGCAAATGTTTCCTGTGTAGGTTTGCTGGCAAAGAACAGGCCAGATGACCCAGTTGGCTTGTTTTCTGCTGGCTATCGTCAGCCGATGTGCTGCCCCACTCACTCACACCCAGGTAACCGTGGTTTAGTGAGTTTATTAATGTTCCCCAGTAATTCCCTTTACCAATATTCAGAACTGTCCCTATAGGCCCAGCCACAATCAAGCCAAGATTAGTCCACAAAGCAACTGGTCAATAGTCCATAAATAAGTGAAAGTTGCTCAAACAAATAGCTCCACCAAACAAACTTAAATCCACTAGGCCAAAATTAAATACACATACGAAAGCTCACTTAGCAAGAAAAGTTCAGAGTCTCCAAGGCACGATTCCAAACAGTGAAGCAGGAAGCATGACGGGGAAAGAAACAGCCGGCAAACTGACACGTTCCCAGTAACGCCTCCCTATTCCTGCTGTCCTAAATAGCCAGTTTCCCAGTGCAGCCCATCAAGATGGGCAGGGCCTTCTCCACCCGAGTAGTCTGGCTGACCTCCATTGCTCCTGCCTTTTCTCTGCCCTGTGGGCTCTCGGATCAGGTGCAGGAGGCAGTTCCTCCTCCTCTTCGCTGGCTGTCTGCCCCTGCAGGCGTTCCCCAGGTGAAGCCTCCTCTGATTCTCTTTTGGATGGCTGTTCAGAGTCATTATTTAACCGGGTTCCAGACGTGCCAGGAATGGCCTCATCCTGCCTTGAGCTTATCTCCAAGAAAGAATCTGGGAAGTCGTCCAAGCGATTGCAGCCTTGATCCTACCCTTGTTTTTAGCCCTCTCTGATATTTTTTTTTTTAAATCAGTCTCTAGAAGTGGAAATAGTAGGGTCAATCTTGTAACGGAATCCAGACAGGAAGCAGGACCAGAAGAGTTAATTTGAATCAAATCAAATCAACTTGATTTGGCCACAGGTGATTAGACACACAAGGAATTTGTCTCCGGGACAGAAACACTCAGTGTACTTGCAAGGCAACAGAGAAAATAATAATACAGCTCGACTTACAGTCACAATTGAGCCCAAAATTTCTGTGGCGAAGCGAGAAATTTGTTAAGTGAATTTTGCCCCATTTTACGACTTCTTATAGTTGTTAAGTGAATCACAGCAGTTGTTAAATGAGTAACACGGTTGTTAGGAGAATATGGCTTCCCCGCTGACTTTGCTTGTCGGAAGGTGGTAAAAGGTGATCATATGACCCCTGGACACTGCAACCATCATAAATACAAGTCAGTTGCCAAGCATCTGAATTTTGATCATGTGACCATGGGATGCTGCAACGGTCATTAAGTGTGAAAAACTAAGTCACTTTTTCCTGTGCTGTTGTAACTTTGAACAGTCACTAAATGTTGTAAATTGAGGATTACCTGTATTTAATGAAGTGCTTTTATGTCTGTTTTTCCGGCCGAAAGAAACTATTCAGAGCAGCTTGATTTATTTGGAGACTCCTAGAGTTCTGGTTCCACATGCGATGCACAAGTCAAACTGATTTCTGGGGAGGCTCAATTTTGATTCTAACACCCCCTCTTTTTTTCCCCCAGTTCCTCCAGTGGTGACGATGAGCAGCAGGACAGAAGCCGATGGTATGGAGAGGCACGTCTGCCGAATCCACGGCTTCTACCCCAGGGAGATCGATGCCTCCTGGACGAGGGATGGGGAATTCTGGCTGCAAGACACCTTCCATGAGTCTCTGGCCCCCAACTCAGATGGGACCTACTATTACTCGCTCGGAATCCAGATCGATCCCAAGGAGAGGGGCCGCTATCGGTGCCACGTGGAGCACGATGGCTTGCAGCAACCTCTGGACCTGGACCTGAAGGGTGAGAGGCTGCAGGGAGGGAAAGGCTGGGCTCTTTTTACAGCCGGAGGATTATGGGAGAGAAATTGTGCCAAGATATATAACAACAACAACAACAACTACAACCAACATAATAATAATAATAATAATAATAACAACAACAACAACAATAACAATGTAGTAGTAGTAGAGTTGGAAGGGACCTTGGAGGACTTCTAGTCCAATCCCTGCTCAGGCAGGAACCCAATACCATTACAGACAAATGGTTGTCCAGTCTCTTCTTAAAAACTTCCAGTGTTGGAGCATTTACAACTTCTGGAGGCAGGTTGTTCCACTGATTAATTGTTCCAACTATCAGGAAAGTTCTTCTTAGTTCTAGGTTGCTTCTCTCTTTGATCAGTTTCCATCCATTGCTTTCTGCCCTGCCCTCAGGTGCTTTGGAGAATAGCTTCACTCCCTCTTCTGCTACGGTATCATGTCATCCCTCGTCCTCTTCATTAAACTAGACCAGGGGACTTCAAACTTGGCCCTTTTATGACTTGTGGACTTGAACTCCCAGAATTCCTCAGCCAGCATACTTGGCTGAGGAATTCTGGGAGTTGAAGTCCACAAGTCACAAAAGGGCCAAGTTTGAAGACCTCTGAACTAGACATACCCAATTCCAGCAACCGTTCTTTATATGTTTTAGCCTCCAGTCCCTTGATCATCTTTGTTGCTCTTCTTTGTGCACTTTCTAGATTCTCAACATCTTTTTTACATCGTGGTGACCAAAGCTGGATCCAAGTGTGGCCTTACCAAGGCATTGTAAAGTGGTATTAACACTTCACCTGATCTTGATTCTATCCCTCTGTTAATGCAGCCTAGCACTGCATTAACTTAACTAAAACTGCATTAGGTTTCAAGCCGTTGCCGCAGAACTCCCAGTAATTCCTACCAGCTGATTCCTGCCAGGACCCATTTTGGAGCAGACCAGTTTATCCAGCTTCTTTGATAGCCACAGGGTTGCATGTCAGATGGCATGTCAGAGAAGAGCAACTGAGATGATCAGAGGCCTGGAGACCAAAACGTACGGAGAATGGCTGTGGAACTTGGGTTTGGCCAGTCTAAAGATAAGCAATAGGGGAGACATGATAGCAGTATTCTAGTATCTGAGGGGCTGCCACAAAGAAGAGGGGGTCAGCTTGTTCACCAGAGCACCAGAGGGAAGGACGAGAAACAATGGTTGGAAGCTGATCAAAGAGAGAAAAAACCTGGAATTAAGGAGAAACTTCCTGACAGTGAGGACAATCAACCAGTGGAACAGGTTACCCCCAGAAATCGTGTGCACTCCATTGCTGGAAGTTTTTAAAAAGAGACTGGACAATCATCTGTCTGGGATGGTATAGGTCCTCCTGCTTGAGCCAAATTCTATTCTATTCTATTCTATTCTATTCTATTCTATTCTATTCTATTCTACTCTATTCTACTCTACTCTACTCTACTCTACTCTACTCTACTCTACTCTACTCTACTCTACTCTATTTTCTATTCTATTTGCCCAGCGTGGAGCGTAGTCCATTTGCCAAGCAACCATGTGTTTCTCAAAGACGCTAGCTGGAAAAAACCTTTCAATCCTTCAGAAAGATTGCATTTGCTAAGCATTGGAGAGGAAAAGAGATGCTGACTGTTGAAGATTGGATTTTAAAGTTGACTAAATTAGCAGAGATGGCAGAATTAACTGCCTTGATTAGGCAATGGACTAGACAGCTTTATAAGAGACTGGAAATCATCTGTGGACTTTCTACGTGTTAAATACAATAACAGATGGTTAACGGGGATTTGAAGATTAGGATAACATTTGGGTTAACCTATTGGCTTTTTATCTTTCTATTTACATATATATTATGATGTTGGGTCGATTTGATTGTTAGATACATAGATTCTCTCATCTGGAATATTTGTTTACGTAATATAGTATTTTGCTAAATAAGGATGGGAAAACTTATAACTATTTGTAGACCTGTTAATGTAAAGGGAGGAAAACCTATCAGTTTTTTTAAAATTCATCTTTCAGCATCCAGCCAGGTTGGCTACTTTATGTTCATCGTTAGATATATCTGACATTTGGGTTTTTTTCTTTTTCCCTTCTTTTTTCTACACCTCAAATTTTCTTTCTTTATTTTCACTGTTAATGTTCTATGTTTTTTCTTTTTCCTGTTTTGTATTTTATTCTTGTTAAGAAATGAAAATAAATAAAATAAAGAGAGAAAGATTCTGCTTGCTGCCTTTCTGCAAACACGATCTTTTCAAAGGTAGAAAGGCTTTTCCAACACTTCACCCTTCGGAAAGTTATCCTTCAGAGTGAATAGCCTGTAGAATGTGTGGAATAAAAATGTTGACGTCTCCTCTGACGTAAAGGCATCTGACATTTCTTAACTTGGTAGATCCCTTATCTTTCTCGCTGTTTGAGATCTTTTCCCCCAATAAGTAGATATTTTATGGTTCCATGGAGTGATTTGTTCTTTCTCCCAATCCAGTTCCAGAATCCAGTTCCAGTCTGGGGCTTATCATCGGTGTTAGTGTGGCTGGCGTTATCTTGGTGTGTGCAATTTCTTCTACCTTGGCATTTCTCAGTAAGTATCCTTTTCTGGGTGATTGAAAGATGGGTCAATTTCTCCCATGTGTCTCCCTTTGGGGAGCTAGCTAACTTCTTTGCTTACTTGCTGCTTACTTGTTTATTTATGTATTCATTTATTTAGTACCTGCCTTTATTATTTTCACAAATAACTCAGGGTTGTAAACATATTCAACACACCTGCCTCCTATTATTTTCTCCACAACAATAACCCTGTGAGGTGGTTATGTGACTGGCACAAGGTCACCTGGCTGGCTTTCATGGCTAAGGCAGGACCTGATCTCAAGCATGGGCTTCTGCTTTGTAGGCCAGTGCCTGGTTCTCAACCTATGGGTCGCGACCTCATTTGGGGTCGATCGACCATTTCACGGGGGTCACCAAGCAAGGCTGTCCACCATTTTTTCCCCTTTTCCGGCGGGTGCCTTACCTCCCTTGAGCTGGGCCAGCTGGTGGTCGGCCTGCTCCATCTCTGCCGCTTGCCAGCTACGCCTCGGCCGGCGCAGGGGGCGGAACCACGCATGCATGGCGCTCCCGGGCAGGGAAAGTCCTCGACTTACGACCGGTCAGGTAGTCCTCGACTTACGACCGGTTTAGTCCTCGACTTATGACCGGTTTAGTCCTCGACTTACGACCGGTTGGGGTCGCGGCATTAAAAAGGTTGAGAACCATTGCACTAGACCAAACTGTTTCTCTTCTGTTTCTGGGCTTCCTTTTTCCCTGTTTTCCCAGCCGACATAACGAACATCTGAGATCTCAGCCTCTTGCTGGGATTCCAGTCTCAGTTCAGCTGAGTCCAAGGTTTGGACAGTCCTGTCTTCTTCTGAGTTGGGAAGAGGCATTCCAGGTCTGTCCCTTTCAAAGGCTTTGTTCAAAGAGAAGGGCTTCAATGAAAATCTTCCTCCCCTCCCAGGTGCTGCTTCTGCTTGCTGCTTTCTCCATTTCCCTTCCCTCCTGGGGAATGATCCATTGATCATTGATAATCAGGTGATACTGTCAGGGAATTGCACAGCAGCTGTCCAAATAAAGTCAGAGACGCTGACATGAACTTGTAGGTTTATATAAATAAATATATTTAACATCTCTATATACAGCAGACTAGATAGTCAGGCAAACAGGAGCATTGTGAGGTAAATCACAGAGGGCAAAAGGCACACAGAAGAAAAAAGGCGGGAAAAAAGGGACAGTCCCCCTCCGCCACACCCACAGCAATCAATCACAATGCAGTTTGCCTCAGGCAGGAGCCAGCACTCTCCAACCAATCGGTACATAGTTAAAAACAAACATACATGACGCCTAAAGAAATGGCAAGTCGAAATGAACAGGCACGTAGCTGCCAAAGTTTCATTCTTGACATATCGCCTCCTCAAAAAAAGAATGAACCTGGAAATACATAAAAACAAATATACATGCATATAGACGTGGATTAGGAATTAAAACCCCTAATCCATGTCTGTCTGTATATTTGTTCTATTTGTTTAATTCTATGAACTGGTGTCTGGGAACCTCAAAGTTAATTTTGCTTTGACATTACCATGCCGTGTATTTATTAAGCAGTAAGATTTTCAGAAACAGAGTGAATCTGATGATTTATTTGGATCTTCAAGCTGGATGTTGACAACAACCCTTGTGTGTTTTCGGTCACTGCATGTTCTGTCCCCGTCCGACCCACACACCCAAACAGCCAGCCGAGGGTTAAAGACTTCTCCAGACACCACTTCACAGATAAGAAACTTGGCAGCAGCTCCGTAGCTGCCTGCCAAGACCTTTTACTCCAAGAACACAGAAACAAAAAACAATACACACAGTTTAAAGCCACAGCAAACTACTTCGCCAGAGATTCAGCTT